TTAAGCACTTTTGTTTCAGCTCAGAATTTTCTTTGGATATATTATATCATTGTGGTTTGCATATTTTTTCGTGGTTTTACCTTGCGAACAGTCACAGTTTCTTTTGAGAATCAAAGAATTAAAGAACATCATTTGGAAAAGTGTTTAGTGACAGACAATTTGAAGACAAGTTTCCATAAGGTAGATACCTTAGGCTTATACAAAAAAATCCCAACTTCCGGACTTACCTCTTGAGGGTTGAAAGTTTGCCAACTCTGAACGATACGGTTTTTGTAGTTTCCCTGGTAGATTAAAGTGGTATCTAAGGCAGCGATAATATTTTCTGATAATGTGTCGGATGAATTCCATAACACGTCAGCAGTCGGAGAGGAAGAATCTCCTCCAATGTATTTGAATATCATCGTCCAACCTTAAAATAAAAAAAAAAATGGCGGAAATAGTCTAGGTTCGTGGAAATTGTTTGTTCCTTGGAAACTCTAGAAATTGTTTTTTCGAATTGACTGAATTGTTATGGACCTAAGTCTGGGACCTTCCTAGCCAAGTGAGTTAGCCACCTCTAAATAAATTGGAAAAAGAGGGTAAGTTTCTAAAGAAAACTGTGGTGCTGCGTCGGTTGGAGAGTATAACAGGGTAGTTTAGTGTTATCAACTGGGTTGAAAACGTAAATTGGCCACCGTAAAGAGTTAAAAAGGATGACGTTTCGAGCGTTAGCCCCTCGTCAGAGAGATACTGATGACCCTTACTCGAGGGTTTCAATGTGTTGATGGCTTTTACAGCTAACGGTTAGGCTTTGGCCTATTTACGGTTAACGGCTAACATATTTCCATTGTGGTCACCATAAAACACTTTGGGGTTTTTACGGTTTAAATGTTTCAATTTTATTCGCCAAACGGCTGAATCTTTTGGCCGTTTTACGCCTAACGGTTAACCCCATTGAGATTCTTGTAATAAAATATGTGTTTATTGTTCATCGTGGTGTAAGAGAGGAGATGAACTTTTGTCTCACGACATAGTCACTTTTGATGTAGATCGCGACGTTTCGACTGCAGTCGAAAGTCAGGCGATGAGGTCGATTGTTTACGTGTTTATATGGAAGAATTTGAGGAACCCAAGGAACCCTGACAGGACCCCAAGGACAACAGTGTTACACACTGATGGGTTTTTCAATCCTGTATAAAAATTCGTTATTATTATTATTATTATTATTATTAACAGGCGATAACAAATGCGACTTGAAAACCGAAGATCTGGAAACGATATGTAGATGACACTTTCACACTCTTAGACCGGGACAATGTCGACGGCTTTTTTACAACATCTAAACAGTCAACAGCCTACTATTCGTTTTACCATGGAAATCGACTCGATAGACTACTGCTGTCTGCAGAAAGCCCACCCACGCTGTCCAGTACCTAACCTATGATTCACACCACCCTTAGTGAGTAAAGCTTGGTTTTGTCAAGTGTCTATAATACCGAGCCAAACACCTCACAATGACACCGTCAGTTATCTCTGAGGAAAAAAAACTTGTCATCAGTACTTGTTTCTAATGGTTATCTTTCTTCATTTGTACGAAGACTCGCAAAGACAACAAGGGTAACAGCCAACAAAGGCCGCGCAGGAAATTAAATCTACTGCCATTCTCCCTTACATAAAGGGTGTATCAGTAGTTCTTCGCTGCTGCCTACAACAACAAGGCATACGAACCGTATTGCAGTCGAAACACTGCGATCTACATCAAAAGTGACTCTATCGTGAGACAAAGCAACAAAGTTCATCTCCTATCGAGATCCTCTTATTTAGTTTGACGTACCACCTCCATCACTTGTTTGGTCGCAGTACACTGGGAATGAGTCTGATACATGATTGGAAATTTCGTGGACTCCTGTTTCCTTTGGGGCTTGAGAACAGTTTTGAGGCAGAATGACTGAAAAGATTAAAAGTAGAAAAGATGCTTATACGAGTCCTTGCACACGATGCAGAGATCTATAGATCTCTCTGCTGTATTAGACTGTCCTTGCATTCTCATTTTACAAATCGGAAATGAAATAAGTGGCTTTTTTGGCAGTCAAGATGAAAATCTGGTTTCATCAAATCCGAATACTTTTTGTGTAAAGCTATCAAATATGATTTCAATAGGTTGGCACGAATGACTCCCTCACTACAAGTCGTAACATAGTAACTCTTGTTCTCTAAATAACAATGAGACGATTTTGAAAAAAACATAAACATGCTAAATTGTGTTAGATGTTAATGATTCCTCAAGCCGCAAAACGGACTGGCCATCGAAAACCTAAGATAATTATGCTATAAACAAATACTTGCTAAGAGGTGAGAAGGAGATTTTTCGTTATACACCACTAACATATTTAAACATGAAGTCGATGACTTTAGGGAACTTAGAAAATTTTCTGAAGCAAAAAAACAAGAAAACCAAGAAGTATAAAAAGGCAGGAATATTTGCATTACTTGATGTATAAAAAGGCGGGAATATTTGCATTACTTGATGAATAAGCAACAAAATACCTTGGTCACAATTCTCTCCCCCGAGTCCTTGTGGACAGACACAACGGTATCCTTTTGAAGTAAACCCAGCTTGACAAGTAGAATTTTCCTGACATGGGCTGCTTCCACAAGGATTCTGTGATAAAAAAAAAAAAAAAAAAAGCAAACAGTGCCTTTCCTTTTTTGTATGCTAAGAGCACGTATGCTTCTTGAGGGATTACTATCACCATTATTATTATTATCATCGTTATAATTTAAAAAAAAAAAGAGATCATCAGAGTCATTTTTTCGAAAAAGCATTAAACCTCAAGAAGATTTCACCTGGTCTCCAACATTTGGGAAATTAATTTCGCCATGGACGAGGTCTGTTGTATGCCTCACTGCGTCCCGCTGATTAAAATTACCGAATTAAAGAGTTCAGGTAATCATTCCAGAACATAGCTACCTTTTCTTCCTGTTTACATTTCTGTAGTCAACCAGTCAGTCGTGTCAAGTGAAGTTTCAACAAAAAAACAAAAAAAAAAAATTGTGTTTAGGTTGTAAGGCTTACCTCAATTCCTCGGTAGCTGTAGCCATTT